ACCTCAGGACGTGTAAGTCATATGCCCTACGTACTTGTGTAGCTGTGTGTTCTGAGTACATGTACCTACACCTTGATATAACGGCAGAGGCATCCGGTAGCGCCTTCTAAATTAAAATGGACAGTGATACGGCTGTTGTATCGTTCCCCCTCTTTCCTTACTGGAACCACGGATGCTCTAGAAGCGGTCCGTAAAGGGCAGTACGTACGTGCACGAGCTTATACTCACCATCTTCCTGCTGTTCGTATCATCAACAGCTTCACTGCTCTGTCGCGAACCATCAGGTTTGTTTAGAGTATATTAAACTTGATGATCGAGGTCTTGTTTCGGATACACCCTGTGTCACCAACCTTTGCCTCTTGGCCTCTTCATGGTGCGTTGCTTCTTTTTGGCATCCGAGCCAAAAGAGACTTGTCGCCTTCAGGTTGTTGGAGGGCCGAATAGGAGTGGGCGGATCTTGTGGGGAGCATCATCGTTGGTAGGAGGCTTGGACGACGGAGCAGGTGGGTGTGGGTTCTGGCTGGTGGTCTCCGCTGGGTTGAACCCTTGTTCCCCTTGACGTGCATTGCTGGTCAATCGATGGGCGTAATAAAGGCCCTGGCCCAATCACAACGCTCGCCGGCGGGCTCGTCAGCCATCCCGCGCATGGCAGGCTAGGCCGTTCCGGGTAGGTGGTTGAGGGGGACGCCATGCTGACTGGTGCGTCTGGCCGACTTGATGCCGGAGTTTAGCGGCCGATATTACATACGCTAGCGTACGGAGCACAGCGACCTGGACGCTACGGAATACACCCCCGTACGTACGTGACGCCAGGCGGACCGACTTAGTCGGACTTGGTAGCAAAAACACGTGTAAGCGACGAGACTACGCAGTTCATCTCCGTACTCAAGTGGAAGTTCGAGATATGAATTAGATTGGCCAAAGTCGAACTGTGGGTGATGCGGCATCTATATGGGCCTTGGATACTCCGAGGCAAGAAGACATCCCTCTTGGCTAACAAAAGCCGAAGCAGAACTGAAGGGGCCGAAATGCCGATGGGATTGCCAGATCTCTCAAGGTCCTCAAGGCTCATCAAGGCCCTCAGACCGAGCTGAGTCTGGATTAGGTAAACCATCAGATTTGCTCGTTTCAACAACGGCATGGATACTACCTACCTTCGTACCTGGTAAATACGCTACAGCCGTGAGATTATTTTTAAACATATTAATGGTTCTCTGGGCAAGCTGATTGACCCGCAAGGGAGGTAGGTGTCACCTGGCGATATTGCGAGCTGGAACCTGTGCCGCAACGGTCCACCCGAAGCATACCCAATCGAGCAGTCCATAACGACGGGCAAGGTTCTGGAATATCATGTTGCCGCAAGTATCGGTATTGCTGAATCAATGTCTTTGAATCACTGTCTCCTTTTACGAATATGGGATTTCGATAGGCAGGCAGGCCTCGGAAGGGGAGAGACTGCCTCAGATTCCGTACCCTCGTGATTTCTCGTTGATCATGACCATCTCTCTCCAACAAGTCATGCGACGGTCCTGAAGGAAGGGGCTCCGGAGAAGCTTGTAAAGAAGAAAAAAAAACAAGAAAAACATTCCTACCTCGGCATCAAACAAAAAAACGCACCATACGGATATTTAAGGCTGAATTGCTGGTCCAACTTCTTGGTGTGCTTGGTGGGTACCTCTGCAGACCTTCTTATTTAGTGCCTTTCGTTTTGGGAAGGTGGGAGTGGTTTTGATCCGGGATCATCCCCCTCATCTCCACTCTGGGCCGAAGTCTGTCACTGGTACGTGTACGTGTAGTCACGACTGTTGAAAGTTGAAACGCCACTTTCCACGCCGTCTTTGCATGATGAAGCAAAAAGAACGAAAAGTTTCAACTATGGTATAATCGACTCCGTACCTACCTAGGTAGGCATTTGGTGATCTTGGTGAATTCTTCTTCTTGGTGGTAGATCCCAATCATCACATCGGTCTTAACTCATCCTCCGCCGGCTTCTGGGTCAGGGGTCATCAACCAGACCCAAGAGTCGTAAGCTCGCGGTTGGCCGGCTGGATCTTCATTCCGAACACACTAATGAGGAAGGCAAGACGGCCAATAAAGTGAATAAACAAACCGGCCAACAGATATCAGGCAAGTCAATGGCCTCGAGCGAGGAGAGAGAGAACAGTCCAGGCCCTGCCTGTTTGCTCTTCCTACGGCTAGTGATATCTGATATGGCACGACGAGGACATCTTTCCCGGATTTATACTCAGCGCCGAGATACCGCCTTGTCTGAAGCTTGATTCAATGTTCTTGGTCCACCCAGATTTACTTGAGGAGGCAGTTGATGGGAAAGAGATAGAATACGGATACCGTTCGAGGTTTCGGGGCAAACAACCAGTTCAGATTCTAGCAGATCCATAGACATTTACTTGCCTTGAATTAAATGCTGATTACTCGAATAGGTACATGAATCGCTTTGTTTGGATGCTGGTGATGCTGTTTTGCGACAGGCGCTGGCTCTGTCGAACCCACCTTCCCTTCCACTTGGTTCCTCTGCCACCGTCTCTGCAAGCCATCACCGGAGAAGGAAGGTCCCTCTTCTCTCCACCATGACCCTACAACAATAACGGTCGAACAAAATCTATGGGAAGGAGCATCACTGCTGTCCGATGAGCCGAACCCAATCTTCGATCTATTCCAACGGCCCAAGCCTGTTCTCTGCCTTTAATCAACCCTGTCGTCTGAGAATCTACGAGGCCTGAGTTATATAAAATGGAATAAAAAATGCAGATCGTCTCCTCCTAAGGATTCCAAGACCCAGGCCTTCCTGCTTAGGTACACCGTACTCCGTACCAGGCGTACCCATCTCCCAGCCCTCCCAGTCACCCCAGTCACCCAGTCACCCAGTTCAATACGCAGTAAGGATCATCGCCTCTTCTTTACGGTCAACCGTCCTTTTGTCCTCCCCAAAGATCAACCCGATTTGTTCTCGGCATTTGCTCGACTGAGGCTTGTCGATCAGATAGGGAAAAGATTTTGATTGGATTGGCAATGAGGTCCCTGTTCTCTTTCTTTCCCCCAGATTTCACGCAGAGGATATCCGTATGTGCAGCAGGATTCACGAAGACCGGCCCCATCATCCCTCATCTTCTCCCTTCCATTTCACTAGGCTCACCTGTGGTCTGCAGACCTGCTACTTTTGATATCCACCTTACTGCGAGTGTCCTGCAAAGGCCTTGCCGATGGCTACAATGCGCCCCTCCTCGGCCCCTCAAGACAGACCTAGATGGAGGTAAAGCTTGAGGACCGAGAGTACCGTTGCTCCTAAGGCTCGATGGCTACTCTTGTACCGCGCCTTTCTCCTATTCTCAAGCTCCAAAGAAATATGTCGTTTCTTTGTATGATTCTATGGATGTTTTTAACCCGGTTAGCTGATTCTTTGCCCGACTGGGGAAATATATGGCCGGGATATACATTCTTGTTGTGGAAGGTTCTCCGGGTCTGTTGGGGTAACTGACTGGCCAGACACATGGGCAGGTCATCATCATCTATCTTGGAGATCTTGGGAAGGAGCGAGCTCCTGGGGGAGTACCGCCTCACGTGGGCAGGGAATATCTCGAGGCATGAAGAGGCGGTAGCTGTTGAACTGAATCTCTGGATACCATGGCGTGGGATACCGTGACATCAAGGTATGGCGTGCCCATCCATAACCCGCTTGGTTGGGCTGACTTCACTGTCCACCGATTCATCAAGAGAGCTGCCTGACTCGCAGACGCCGATCTCGGGAAGCCTGTTCTGTCTTTGTGGCTTCCATGAAAGCTGCTGGTCACTCCAGTGGTGTACAGGGACAAAACACCAAGAAACAAAGAGGAGGGAGAGGAGGGAGAGGAATCTGAACTCAGAAGAGGCTGGATGGTATGCCACTAGCGATGACAGCAGACGACCCCCTCATATCCAAGAACACACACGCACGCCATAGCTCTCTTATCCAGAACGAGCAAAAAGATGCATACAAGCACCAATGGCCAAGTCTGTACCGATGATGGAACCTCAGACTCCCCGCCATGTTTTCCATGTCCGAAGGGACCGACTGGGCGATTAGATCAGATCTGATGTATGTACCTGTGCCTGTGCGTGTGTGTCCGTGCCTTATCTACGTCAATGACGCTTTTACCTCCTTCCAAAAAGAGAATGGGAGACTGATCTGGCTGGTTGGCGCCATGCCAGCTCAGCGGTGTGGCTTGCAGGACTTGTTCTAGTAATCCATCACTTGGGTAGCTATCTTGTGCATCTGAAGAGCGTGATTACCGAACTCAGAGTAACCATAATAAAGAGAGTAACAGTGAAGCATGAATTTGCTTGGTCTTCCAAGCTCGTGTTTATATGGTTCCCGCCTGGGGAAGAAATGGTCATATGGCCATCAAGAGGTGTCGACGTTTCTTCGTAAACTGGACTCCTCTTACCAACGAGGTCAGTAACTCACTTGTCACGAGCATAAGTTCGTCCTATCGTCGAGAGCGGCCGCAGGAGGAAGTACAACCTGCCGAAGCAACGATGTACATGCACATGAACGCCGACCGCTCGAGATTAGTTATCTTCCCTATGTAAACAAGCAGCTGGTGCCAGGAGGTCACTCATGACCGTCTGTCTTTGAATACCGGGGATGGCTCCATGGTGGTAGACATGCCCAATCAAACATCCTTCCGCCCAAAGATGTTATCAGAGTGGTCGTCCCGCCGACAGATCATGCTCGTAAGTCGATTCCGGCTCTCTCACATGCATGCTTTGAACATGGAATCAAAAGCCAACCAAGAAGCAGGCACGAATAAGAAAAAACTCACCGACAAGAATCTCTTACTAACTCGAACAAGAAAAAGATAAAAGATAAAAAGCACTGTCTCTAAGCAGAATCGAACCTCCGTCTCAGTGTTCTCACCCCCCCTGAAATTGACCAACAACAAGCCAGCTGCAGCAACAAGCAAGTATAATAAGAAAGAAAAGAATTACCCAAAAAAAAGAATTGTTCCCGAGCGGATTCGAACCACCATCTCGCAGTGCTCTGTGCAATTCCCCTCAAGGAATCGGAAAGAAAGCCAATAATCAGAAACTCCAAACCCCAAACGCCCAACCAACCACCCCCGGGGAGGAAACTGAACAGCTACGCGCTTTACCACTAAGCCACGGGGACTTTGCGAAACCTCCCATTCTAATTCTAATACATATACCCTCCTCGGTTGATTCCCCTCTCTTGCAAAGTCTATTCCTCTCAGTGGCGGATGTTGATGATAGTGATGGTGGGGATTTATCCATACAAGCCTTGCTATTGCGGGGATCTGGGCAACATGTAGCTAAGTAAAGTTAAGGTCTGCATTCACCTGTGAGAAACGGATATGACAGGTGTCTCTGGCTCTGTTGAGCTTTTCTCTATTTCCTCTCGACATTTACCACAGCTCTGATGACATGTCTCTCTCTACCTATGAAACATGAACAGCTCTCTCATTGTTAACGGCGCACCAGTCCTCTCGTATACGGGCACCGGTATTCTTATATATATATACTACTCTTGTTGGAATAGAGGCTTTGACTGGCTGGAATAAATGTCTTGAGAAAGTGAAATTGGACTAGTGCCTGTATACGAGAGTAGTGGTGCCTGAATATTAGGCGCCTTGTTAACCACGGTCACCGCCAATCCATGAAAAGGGACGAGAAAGGCCGAGAAAGTCTCTATTGACTGGTTTAGAATATAGAGTTCACCATGAAATAGACTCGGGGATGTACATATTGACCATCAGATTCACATAAGAGGGTACTTTGAAGACCCATCCGAATCCAGACTCAAGAGTACTTTCCACCCAACAGCCATACACCAAGTAAGTGAAAGACGCCGAGAAGAAGTTTTCAATATTTATTGCTGCTGGCAGAAAAGCTCGAGGAAAGCCCCCGAGATAAAAGCCCACAAAAGCAACACCAACAGATTACTACTCCCAAACATCCCAGCAACTGAAATCCCGGAGAGCATACAGTCTGTTTACCAACTTTGAATCCCCTGTTCAATTACCATAATTCCTGGTTCTCCCCGTCTCACCAAAGTGCCCTATCCGCTTGTAGAGCCGCATCCCCTCTCAGGGTGATACGCCATCCCATCCCTGGATGCTGTAACACAAACCCTCACCATCCCCTCCCCGATTCGATATTCCGTATCCCCGTATATTTTATACTCCAATTGAGACCGAAAGCCAGTGAAAATCTCGTAGGATACTGCAGTCCGAGCCAACATACAGTGTGATCCAGACCCGGTACCATGCCAAACACCCTCGTGATAGACACCAGACGTACAGACACATAAACATTAGACGCTCAGCAACCCCCAAATAACCCCTATTTGATACACGAAGATACAAACCGCCCGCCATTCTCGCCCCCAAGACAAAACAAAACAACGAAACAATAATGACGAAAAATCAATGTATGCTTGGCTTTTTCCCACGTAGAACCGTACCAAGCCGTCCATTTGCGTCATAATGCAAAGAAATGATTTTGGTTTCCTGCTCAACTCCGACATGGATCAAAACAAAGTGACCTTGGTTGTGTCTATCTAGTAGTCGTATAAGAATCGTTCCTTTCCCACCTACACAGGATCATGGGCCCATCAACATGTGACGTGCCGCTCAGGCGGCGCCAGACGGACCACGCCCACGTTGAACACCCCCTCTTCCTCGTCCCGACTGCCCGGAGAAGCTACCGCGGCCACCCTGATTGCCACCGCGGCCAGGCTCAAAGCCACCACGGCCGCGATTAGCACCTCCTGCACGAGCGGGATTGAAGTTGCCACCTCCAAATGCAGTGGACTTTGGGCGACGCTGCTCGACGACGATCGTCTCGCCATTCACGGTGTGGGGATTAGCGGCGACAGCGGCGTTGAAGCCTGCAACAGTCTCGAATTCGATAAAGGCACAGTTCTGAAATCTCTGTTAGTCAAGTCTTCTCACCCATTGTAACAACGATCTAACATACCTTTTGCCGGTTGATATCGCAATAGGTCATATCACCAAAAGCAGAGAGTGTCCTCTTAAGATCTTCATCCACGACCTTGTCAGTAACAAATTTGACGTAGGCAGAGGTATTCCCATCCTTCTCAGAGGGCGTGGTGACCTGGGACACTGGGCGGTTCTGACGCTTAGTTTCCGCGGTCTGCCACTCGTTGCCTTGATCTCGGGACGCTGCGGGCGACGGGGCACTCTTGGGCACCGGAGCCGCCTGAGCAGGTTGCCTGGCCGGAACGACAGCTGGCCGTGGCTGAGTGGACACAGGGGCTGTGGGGAGCTTGGGGATAGCAGCTGCTGCGGCCTTAGCTGCGGTTTGGGCCCAGTTCAAGTTCTTAACGGGAGCCGGAGCAGCAGGGGGGGCAACAGACGCGACTGTGGCAGCGGGGGTGGGCGTAGGCGCCTTGGGGTCCTCGGGCTGCTTCACCTCCTCCTCGGCAACTTCCTCAGCAACTTCCTCAGCAGCCTTCTCGGGGGCTGGAACGGGCTCAGAAGCGTTTTCTTCCTCGGTGGATTCGGTGGCAGTTCCAGAGACGGCCTCACCTGCAGCAGAGGGTGTGGGGGTCTCCTCAGGAGGTGCTTCGGCCTCTTCAAGCTTCTTGTCGATCGCGGCGGTATCGAGGGCTGGAGGTTCCAGCTCCTTCGGTTCCAGCTCCTTAGGTTCCTCTTGAGCCTCGGTAGCCTCAGCCTCAGCCTCAACCGGTGCCGCAGCAGGCTCGCTGGATTCAGTGGCCGACTGCTGTTGGTCGACGACGTCATCGTCATCATTGATATACCGAAAAATGTCATTGAGGACAAAGTATCCAGATGGCTGTTGGGCAAGAACAAATGTCTGCACGAATTTCCTGGCATCGGCGTTATTGTTCGATGTCTCGCCAATGACTTGGATCACGATGCAGTCATTGGACCCCTGAGAGTCGACATTCGAGATGCGGACCTTGCAGTCTTGGAAGGGGAGACCCTTGATGCGATCCTGGATATCCTTTCAAGGGGTCAGTGTCATACATCATGGAGGAAGGGTGTCGAGATAATGCTTACATGTCTGCCAACAGATACAGTGGCAACCTCTGCCTCCATGCCATAAACGAACTGCGATGTTTTTCCATAGAAGAGCTAATGCCCCAGTTAACTGAGAATCCAGAAACACCAGGAGATGGAAGCGGATGACGAACATGCAACTTATCTGGATTCTTGCTCAGGGTTGTGTAATACTGCTCAACAAAGTACCATCCAACCTCATCCTTGGGAAGGGTTTCTTTCTGTGGGGGTTCCTTTGATGAGGATGTGGTGGGGGCTGGTGGCGCGCCAGAGGTGCTGGTATACTGCTGCTCGCCGTGATTAATATTACCGTTTGTTGCCATGGTTGCTGTCTGTGTGGTTGTGATGATCGAGAGTTGTATTTAGGGATTTTTTTTTTTGGAGTCTTTGGGTTATGGTTTTAAGTGAGGAATTGAATTGCGTCTCGGGGGAAAGAAAAGGCCAGTGCTATCGATCGAAGCGCGACAGGACTGGGCGGTGGGGTGAGAAAAAGGGCGAGTGCGGATACTGCCAAAAACAACGTCAGTGACTTTGTCTGGGAAGGAGCTCCGGATCGCAGTTGCCCTGAGTTCTGCACCCAGACATGTCAATCGAGGGCGTACCTCTTCGAGGTCTTTCCCAGGCGCACGACTTCACACAAACGAAGCTGGCGTCGAGATTTGGGGGCAAGCAATAAAATTTTGGCCCGAGTTGGGTGGCTCGGTCTGAGGGGGATTGGGCGACGAACCTGTATGCGCGAAAGAGAAGATGTTGGGGTTGGTGGGTGGGTTGAGTTTGGTGAGGTCGCGAGCTTCAGGACGGATTAGTTCACGAGGTAGAAACTAGAAATGGATTTTGCCTGAGCTAAGGAAGTTGCGGCGGCCCCACATAAAAAGTTCGGAACTTGCCTTGCAGGCCCGACCAGCACCTGCAATTCAGCGATTTCGCATTCATGCAGCTTCACTTTTGCCATTGGGGGTACAGATACACTAGATAGAGAAGTACGACTACGAGATACATACACATATCAACTGCAATCGAGGAATTGATGCACTAGACACGGTACAGAATGATCTGAACTGGATGCGGAGATCTTGTGTCCTGAACAGACGGCGCCTGCCACTAGCTCGTCATTCATGTCAAGTATCGATCAGGACTCTCCTCACTATCGGGACCATCTGGTCAATTGCTAAAATGATCATCATGTAGCCTTATGGATATTTCCCTCCAGTGTACCGGAAAGCCCCCAAAAATCGTGGCTCGGAGAGAATTGTAGGGCTGTTGTCTGGCACGTCTGGTCAAGCGGATGTATACACAAATTTGTTGATTCTTTGCGTGACACTGGCACAGGATCGCACCTGCTATTCTTGCCAGGATTCCGTGGCTTCGTGTCTTTAACGATGTGGTCCCCGGATCGACTGTGATAGTATTCACATTCTGACATTGTCTCACCAATGATGCATGGATGCTGGTGGTATATTTGTATGAAGAGCAACAAACCCATTGCTGTCTCCTAATTTTCGAGTCCCTTCCGAGATCTCGGGCCGTCCCGAATTGACGGTCGGCTCGGCTAAAGACGGAGAATCAATCAGCTGACTCATCCATAGAGCTTGTAGGCTAACGACCCTTCCGCTCCGGCTCCAGCTTCCGGACGCAACAAGACCAAGCCGCCAAGCTCCGGGGTTTGGCGCGGACATATGATTTATCACAATTCACAAAGCACCAGTAAACAGATGTCAACGTCGATTTTCACAGCGTTTTTAACATATCTCTCTCCCACTTACGGATACTCGGCTGAAATCACGATTGTCAGTCTAGGAACCCGTAATATGACAATTAAGGCTCGAAAGACGATCACTTGCATCCGTGGATCAAGGATCGTCAATCACTGTGAATGAGAACGAACGCCGCCGCTAAAACCACCGTATACCTGGCTAAAACCACCGTCTTAGCCTTTAATCTGGTGTCCCGAGGTCAATCACAAATAGATGCCTTGGCTAACCTGAATAAGTACTTTGACTGACCCGAATAAATACTTTGGCTGGTTTGAATAGATGTCTTGACTGGCTCGAATAAATGCCTGTGACTCGCTTGAATAAATACCTTAACTGGTTCAAATAAATGCCTT